AGTTTTAATACAGATATTTCACCATTTTGTTTTCCCTAAAACAAAATGTCAACACTGCCACAAGAGAAAGAAAGAAGGATGAAGTAAAACAGGCCAGCAAAAGTCTTCATAAAAACTGGTGTTCATGGCAAAAGTATGATGGGATCACGGTAGAGTAAAGGATGAAGGCAATAGGGTTACATTAAGAATTTCACTAATGACAATTAGATAAGAAAAGGCATTAAGAATAAAACTAGATATGACCGATTTGTTTCTTATTAAGTAATGATTTCATGACAATACACAATAGAATTCATGATCAAGTAACTGTGGTTCCTCTTGGTAGTACCAACGGACTACTATAGTTTTCTAAGTGCTACAAGCAATGGAAATCTCTAGTAAACCCGAACAAGCCTACTTTATTATTGACTTATGAATTCTACTTATCAGAAAACCAGCATCATTTAAATTTAAGAAACAAAATGTGGTCCAGTGTGCGCAACAAATTGCTGTTGAATGGCATAAAATGGGCCTTCAGTTGAAACTAACAGAATACAGAGAAACAGTGAAAAGATATGAATTATCCAATTTCTAAACAAAAAAGGCTATTTCTCAGGACTTTTGTTGAAGGTTTGCTATTCAAATATGTATTATATGTCATCCTCAGCATAATTTTGTATCTATTACAGCCAGACAATAAAGACAATGTAGTAAAATGTCTTCTTTGTGTTTATTAGTCCTTTTGGAAGTGATTTCCCAAGACTGCCCCTATGCTGGATTTAGGAAGGCACTATAGCAAGACTGACGTGTTTTCCTTGACTTTGGGTGTCTGAATTGCTCCTCTGACTTTTTTCTTACAGTATGTGTATTGGAAGTTGATTTTAAGTTTTACTTATCTCTGATTTTAGTTTATCTTTGATTATGTATATGGAATAGTTTTTATGGTATTACATAGGATTTCATTCTACATGACATCTTTTTGACTGAAAACTACCTAGACTTTTTCTAGTACGTTGGAAAATTTGTAATACATAAATAAACAAAATAGTGTGATGCTAATTTTTTGAAACCATAATGAAATACTGAACCTTTTAATTTGATTAGGATACAAAATTAAGAACCTGAACCATACTTGAAAAGAACTGCAAGAAAAATCCTTTTATTAAACAGAAGACAACCCCTGGCAGACTATCTGGTCCCTGAAACTAATCAGGAATGGATCAGAGTACTTATTTGAAGGAATTTATATGCTGGATTAAAAAGTAAAAGAAAAAATAAAATAAAAAATCCAAGAAAAAGGCAAATGATAGTTCTGCCAAAAAAACCTGCATAGATGTGTTCATATGATAATCAGAATTCAAGGAGTAGAACTGTAAAGTTTTTTTTTTAATAATTTAGATAACAACATAGTCTTATAAAGATACTCTGAATTGTAGTTAAAATAGTAATATGTGCACAATTCAATGCTGAAACTGGATCTTTTTATTATTAATTTCAATTTGGCACAAGCACATCATCTTGGGCAAAATATAAATCTTCAATCAGGATATAAATCTAATAAATAAAAATAAAAATGGTAATTTAATAGAAATAGATCAAGATCAGTGGGATGGTGATACAAATTACAAAATTTGCTTTAATGCCTAGTTTTCTTACCAGAGTAATATTCCATGAAAATGAATCCACACCTGTAATTCATGCATCTGAGAAAATTCCAGTGCCACTAAGGGATAAAATAAAATAAAGAATATAACGTGAGAGTCAAGGTAGATGAATCTACAGCAGGGATGAGGAACCAGTAGCCCTCCATATGTTGCTGAATTACAACTCTCACAGTCCCAGCCAGTGTGGTACAGATTGGTAAGATTATTGCTAAAGAAGTGAATAAAGGAGATGATCCAACAGATGAAATTTACAGATATGATGAAGGCTACAACCAGACATAAAAGAATGATTGACTAAAATGAGGTCTGGATGATATTGGGAGAGAAACTGAAAATTAATAAAAGAAAATGCAAATTTGTTCTAAGACGTATTGTAGCTGTTCAGTAGGTAAAAACAATTCCTCCATACAGAAATTCAAATGCCTTCTCTAAATATTTTGGACTAGCCATATCTAGCAAAGACATGAAGATATAACAAACATTTCTAAGAATTACTATCACTACTTGAGCTATTAGCTCAAGTTAGTGAATACTAAATAGGTGAAACCAAAATTAAAAACATGAATCTGGAAGAACTTCAATGTGAAAGAACCATTCACTATATCAGATGTTCTGTTGCTTCAAGATTAAGAACTATATTTCTGCAAGAAGGCTTGTTGTTACATGTATTTCTAAAACATTAATGAGTATTGAGCGAAAATACTAGCAATAGAATTTGGAGCATAAGATTCCATGAACTAATTTATGGAAAAACAAACACAACCCAGAGCTATAGATTTTTATATACTGCTTCTAGAATAATCCAAAAAGGACTAGTAACTTTATAGAAACATTGATTATAATTGATGTATAGACTGAGCAAATAGTTACTAATTCCTGATATTCTTTCTAGGACATATATATCAAGAGAAAATAATAATTCTTATGGACTTTGTTTTATTAGCGAAATCTTAAGAACACTGTTAATCCACAAAATAATTCTACAAGAGTCAGAAAAAGCAAAGGAGAAACTTTGGAAAATATCTCTACCTGTTGAAACTCTATGGAGATTATAAATGAAAACAAAGTCCTGTTCTAAAATAACAAATCCTAATTAGATAAGAAGGATGCCAAGCATGACAGACACCTATGTATGAAGATGTCATACAGTTGTCAGAAGGAATTCACGCCAATTTATAAAATTCAAAAAGGATTCTGGCAATAATATTACTTGATACTGAAAATCTTTTGACTATACACAGAGACTGAATAATTAACCTATTGTATAATATAATATTTTAAAAGAGAAATGTGATTGTAATAACAACATGAACCAAATAATTCCATTATTGGCTGTATGATGAAAATAGTTCTGACAAGTGATATAAGCCATTTGTACTAAGAGATGCAAAGTGTTAAGTTTATTTTATTGCATGCCTCATGTTTGTGTAAGATTTGCTTTTTTCACATATTATAGTGCTGTACTCATTTCTCAAGTTTTGCTTTTTTAATTTTCTCTGATGATAATTGTTTTGTCAATTCATGTATTCCAGTTTGTCTCTATGTTTGGCTATATGAGTCTTATTAGCTTTACTGACTCCCAGGCTTAGAGCACCATATGTCTAACTCTTAATTGAGCAGAATAATATTTTGAGGTTTATAACACTTTTGAATTTAATGCTCAATTTATTATCACTGATTCAAAAACCTTGTAGCCTCTAGATTACAAACTATATTAAAATAGTATAATTTATTACATACAATGATCAAAACTATCTACCTATCAATCAAGAAACCAGGCTGCATTCATGAATTTATGGTGTTAATTTTAAAAAGTGTTTTTAGGTTATTAGGTTTTGGGTTATCATAGAAACATGGCACAGGGTAAACATGACAGATAGCCTTCCTTATGGATGGGGAGTATGTATGCAATTTCATGATAATTCATATTCCTTTACTAAGGTCAAAATTGAGGAGATATATTGTGGGGATGTTATATCATTCACTATTGAAATTCTTGTAAAGAAATATTGTGGAATACTGCTGAACAGAGTGAACCCAGTCCCAACCCCTACAGTTTACATCTGGTTAGTAAGGCCAGTTAAAACTATTTTTTTAATGTCCCTTATATTGTTGAACATACATCAAGAAATCTATTGTAGACACAATAATGTAGTTGTAGATACCAACAATACCAACATCAATCAATCCAATACTTCAGATACAAAGCAGCAAAGAGACTATTAGCCTCTTAATCAGGTGGAGTTAGTCATTACAATAACCTATATTATATCATAACACTTTTTAGTATATTTAGCATAATTTAATAAATTATACTAAACAGTATAACTTTAATGCTACTTATTTTAATAAGCATTACTTGCAAACCAAATATCAGAGATTATACAATTTTTAGTACTATTTGTGGATTAATTTTAGGCTTCCTTTTGGCTAATATTTGACAGACTTTATGAATTAACTAGCACAAATATTTTAAAGTAATAGATACTTATTCCTGTATAAAACTCATATTTTTTTTCCATATTTTATGAAGTATACTTAAATTCATAAAGATTAAAAAGAAAAATAGCCATTTACTCCTGAAAGTCAACATAACTGAAGTGAAAATAAGCCATTTTAATCTACTGGTATCAGCATGAGAAGTTTACACATGAACAAAATACTTTTCTGAAAAATGCAGGTCTTGTTATTGTTTGACAGAAGACAGTTAACAAGAACATCTGTTTTCAGTAACTGCTATTTGCTGTTATTTAGTGAAACCGATAACAGCCCTAGGGGATAAAAAAGTAACCCTGAACAAATATTGTCCAGTTTAAACTCCTTTAAACAGAAGGGTGAAATTTGTGCATAAATGGAGTTGCACATCAGTTCAGACAAAAACCTTTCTAATGTGTAGCCTAAGTTCTATGTATCTGTATATGCCTACTATGTAATATGCATATCTACTAATATACTCAATAAAACCTCTGCAGGGTTTTTCAAAATGTATAATTGCATCTCAAAATTATCAGCTTTGCAACCAAAAGTGGTTATTCCTATTCCAATTCAAACATTTCCCATTTCCAGATAAAAAAGAAAGTCTGTGGAACTAAAATCTTAAATGACTTAAATACATTAATCTCCAAAGTAAAAATAACACATATATAAATATTGTGTACACAATTTGTGAAATACATTCAGATCTGTTGTTTCTACTAACTTGACATGGGCTTGCCTCTTTTTCTGTCAGAAACATTAATAAAAGGGAAATGGAGGATGGAAATGGACATATGGAAAAAAATGAACAGAAATTAAAAATAAAAGTGAGGGAATGCAACAGAAGCAGCAATAGCAGGACACTTTGGCAAAAGTACTCACGCAGAATCTACTGGCCAGAAGTTGATCAGAGTAACAGGACTGCAAGACAAAAAATGAGGAGGTGAAGAGAGAGGCAGAAAAAACTTAGCAGCAAAATAATTACGGAAAAAAACAAAACAAAAACAAAACCCAAAATCAAGAAAATCCAGTAGACTAACATGAATGTCCATGAAAGCAGCCAAAACATGAGAAAGGAAATATTAAAAGAGAAAAATGGAAAGATAGCAAGCTGCAGTGCAATTTCCATTAAAGCAAATTTTAATAACTAGCAGATAATTTTTTCTATTAATCTTATAGGATTACAAGGGACAGGTTTGTGAATTTGAATCTAAACATTAATATTTTCTCCGTATGAAGAGAAAAAAAGGCATGTTCATTTCTACGCACTCAACTATAAACTACAGATATTTGGAAGAATTTCTAAGCATTCATTAAGACAACATATATTTTTATTTTGTTAACAATTTAAATTAGTGTACAATTTGCAGGTCATAAAAAGCAAGAATAGCAACCAAGACCACAGCTTGCCTTTTCCTTTCAATAAAAATAAACAAATATGAAAGAAATGAAAAAGATGTTATGTAATCAGGAAATATAGAGAGCAATTGGGAAACTCAGAACTTATCAAATGAGATATTATTAATATTCTTCACTCACGTTTCCATGTTGTCTCCTTCCAACACTGTTTGTACAGGCAAATAACCCATTCTCGGATGTTTTGCAAAGTATCGTTTTGTTCTGAATTTATTTTTTAATACCTTGGCAAAGTCACGGACATCTTCTCCTGAAGTAGTCTGAAAGCAATATTTCAGCAATAGAATTTTATTACGGTTTTTTTTTTGCAAACGTTTTACATCAGTTGTTTGTTTTGCGACTTTTTAAATAAACTGTGTGGTAGTCATTTTAAATGGCCACAAAATTTAATTACCGTATTTTCCGGCGTACAAGATGACTTTTTAACACATGAAAATCTTCTCAAAAGTCGGGGGTCGTCTTATACGCCGGGTGTCGTTCTCCTGTAACCAGGCAGACCAGCCTGAAAGACTCTGACAAGCCTTAAATGGCTCTGGCGATCCAAGCTCTGACGATCCCAGCTTTGCCTGATTAGCAGGCAACTCAGCTGGGATCGCCAGAGCCCTGTAAAAGGAAAAAAGTTTTCCCCCTCCAGCTTGCTTACCTTAGCTGCTAATCGCAACGCTTGCCTTGCTTCGCTTGCCTGAATCCATTCCATCAGCAAGCCACTCCCTGTCTGCAATCAAGCAGGCAGGAGTTGTGGACTTCAACTCCCAGAATTCCTCAGCCAGCAAAACAAAGCTGGCTGAGGAATTCTGGGAGTTGAAGTCTACAAGTCTTAAAGTTGTCAAGGTTGGAGACCCCTGTTCTATTGGGTAAGTTTTTTTCCCCTTTGGGAGCTTTAAAAAAAATAGTTAATTGGGGTTTTTTTTAGTTGTTCTTTTTTAGACCTAGCCATTTAAAATTTAGGAAGTTTTAAATTTAGTTTTCATATAAAAATAAAAATAAAATAATATTTGTGCAGCTTTCTGAGATTTAGTGTGTTTCTGTAGTGTTTCACTCTAACTACACAAACACACAAAATCTCACAAAGCTGTATGTGGAATTTTGTGTGTGTAAAGTATGAAAGTTGTTTTTTGGGGCTTTTTGTGGCTGTGTGAGGTTCCTGCTTGTTACAGGGGCCATTTTGGGTCTAGCATAGCTGCTTTTACATTGTGGGTGACCCAGTTGTGTTGTGTTGTGTGTGTGTAAAGTGTGAAAGTTGTTTTTTTGGGCTTTTTGTGGCTGTGTGAGGTTCCTGCTTGTTGCAGGGGCCATTTTGGGTCTAGCACAGCTGCTTTTACATTGTGGGTGAGCCTGTTGTGTTGTGTTGTGTTGTGTGTGTGTAAAGTGTGAAAGTTGTTTTTTTGGGCTTTTTGTGGCTGTGTGAGGTTCCTACTTGTTGCAGGGGCCATTTTGGGTCTAGCACAGCTGCTTTTACATTGTGGGTGAGCCAGCTGATGTTTTTTAATTTTTATTTGGTGTGTGTAGGAAGAGGGGTAGTCTTATACGGTGAGTATAGCCCAAACCCTATATTTTAACAGGAAAAGTTGAGGGTCGTCTTATACGCCCAGTCGTCTTATATGCCGGAAAATACAGTATATATCCATACTGGAAATATCTCACAATCTGGTGATTTACAATTTACTATCAAATATATTTTTAGAATTTGCAAAACATATTCCTGAACATGATGGATATGAAGAAACATTTAGTTGAATATTAAGATTTTCCTCTATGCTTTTAGCCATTTTTTCTACAAGACAGAACTGTGTGATTGCAAGATTACAATACTGTATATCAAATGTTAAAATACAAGTATGTCAAACCCATGATATTCTGTAATTTTCTACATGATAAGCATATTGAGAGTAAACTAACAAATAACTCTGCAACCAAGCAAGCAAAATACCTGCGAAGCATATAGTTCTTTATGTATAACTAAAGATTGCTATGCCATAATAAAAGCAGACTTGAAGAAAAGGTAGGAATAAAAGTATTCATTTTTATAGTAAAAGAACTGTTATCATGTGCAACAGACTTTTATTATGCTTATTAGATTTACAATAGATATTTTTAACTGAAGGAAAGAAATACATCTTTCTCTCTTACCATTCAGAATCAGTCCATTGCCGAATGAAATGAAGAGTATGAACCATAAACTTCACAATCTAGCATGAGAAGAATATTATGGTGCAAACTCACCTGACTGATTTCTGGCCTGTTCTTTCAACTAACACATGGAAAAAAGGGTGCTTAGGTAATGTAGCTGTTTCTATCTACTTTTGCAAACTAACAAACATCCAGCTCTAATCCCAATAAGATACAGTAATTATTTCTCTCTTTTGTTGAAGTAAGACCCAGTGTCTTTTGGACACCTCATTAATATCTCAAGTTCCTTTGTGATGACTAAACTGAGCAACTCTTTCATTTAAGGTATCAAATCCAAAGACTCAGCTCTATTCTGATATATCACACCAAAGTCCCAAAGCAATGGTCCATTTATGGACTGTCACATCTCCCCCAGGAACTTGGGAGCACACTTTTGTGCATGGACACCTCTGCAAAAAGTGAATATCTAACCAAATTATAGAAAATCTGCCAATATGGACACCCGTGACAGTGACTAAGAATCTTGCTGTTCAACTAAGACTAGGAAAAGCCCTAGGAGAAGACTTTATCCCTCCAAGGATCATTAAAAAGAACTTGAACTTCTGGGCCACACTCTGGCCTCACTCTTTATCTACATACCCATGACCGAGCCCTGAAGACCAGGGATCTGCAATCAGTGTCCTGATATAAAAAAGGGGAAAAGGGTAATCCTACCAGCTATAAACCAATCAGCCTTCTCAACAAAATCTATAAACTCTTCACAAGACACCTACAACAGAAATCCCAAACTTGCTGGAACAAGAAAATATCCTTGCAGAGGAGCAAGATGGTTTTGGAAAAAGCTGGCTATCATTGATCAGTGTCTAGTACAGAAGATGCATACTGGTCCCACTCCTGTTTAATTTTTATATCAACTCAACACAAGTTTCACTTCTCAAACTTGCTGCAAGACAAATCTCTGCTTTACTTTATGCACATGATGCAACATTACTTTCAAAAACACCTACTGGCCTTAAAAGAGCTCTAGTGCAATAGGAGTACTACAGTAGAGAAGACCATCTAGTACTCAAACTATCCGAAAATCAAAACCATAGCATTTGCCAAAAGACCCAAGAGCTATTCCTGGAGGATAGATTGAGCAAATTCCTGTTTCAAATATCTGGGGATTATCCTTCACTCTGCTAACAGATGGAAACATTGCTGAAAACAAACAGAGGAGCTGAACTGCCAACCTCAAATTCCACAAGACAAGAGGTGGCCACTATATACTTGCAGCACTCAAACTATTTAAAGCACAACTTCTTTATTGTGCCCAAAATAGGCCCCTTTTTCAACTTTGCACCATTAGAATTTGTTAGGTCCAAATTTCTAAGATTGGTCTTTCAAGTTCCAAAATGTGTTCTAATTCTACCCTGAGGTTGGGAGTCAGGCCTCATGAAAGTGGTGGTCTGAGTGTGGATGAACATATTTAGCGATTGGCTCAAACAATTTCTTTTTCCCCTTGGCCTAGACCCATTATGAGCAGTGGTGGGATTCAATTTTTTTAACAACCGGTTCTGTGGGCGTGGCTTAGTTGGGGGTGTGTGGTTGGTGGTCATGTGACTGGGTGGGCGTGGCTATGTGCATAGGGACTACTCAGAGGGCTGAAAAAAGTCATTTCTGACTGGTCCTCGCACTTTTGACCGGTTCTCACACTTATGACCATCCTCACATTTATGCCGTTGCATCATTCTTAACAAGACTGTCACTCAGTTGTGTAGATTTCACAACTACTTCTCTTCACCACGGTGAAAAGATAGGGTGTAAAGCGTAAAAAGTGAGGAAAATCATAAGTGCGAGGACCGGTCAAAAGTGCGAGGACCGGTCAAAAATAACTTTTTCAGCCCTCTGAGTAGTCCATATGCACATAGGGATTACCCAGAGGGCTGAAAAAAGTGATTTCTGACAGGTCCTCGCACTCTTGACCGGTCATCATTTATGCCCATTGCAGCATTCTTAATTAAATTAATTAAATAAAAATGACCTGCTGGAGCAGTCGGAGGCAGTCCAAGGCGGGCGTTCGGGCCGGCTGCAGGGCAAGGTGATACAACCGAGGTAGGTAGGCTGCTGCTGCCCAGGTAGGAGGCGGGCGCAGGCCTACAGGGCTGGCTGCAGGGTGAAGCGATTGGGTGGGGTAGGTCAGGGGTCTGCAACTTTAAATACTCAACCTTAAACACATGTAAACACTTAAACACAACCTTAAACCTGGGTGTGCATTGCCAACTCCATATCACTTACTCCAATCCAAGTTTTGTGGCTCCCAATATCTTCTTTTAAACAGGTATCTCTGTGTGTCTCTTTCATCTCTCTCATCTCTTTCTCCCTTCCTCTCTTTCTCTCCTTCCTCTCTTTCTTTCCATCTTTCTTTCTCACACCCTCCTTTCTCTCCTTCATCTTTCTTTCTCTCCATCTCACTTTCTCCTGTCCCGTCCAGGTGGCGGTGGCTGTGCACCTACCGCACGATCGGGTCGCCCCTCGGCCTGGAGGTGGCACCTTAAGCCTTTGCCCACTGCGCGTGCGCCCGCCCGGCTGCGCCTGCAGCCGGCTCTGGTTGCTCTTACTGAGCTTTGCAATGGGGCAGACGGCGCCCCTCCTCCTCCTGGAGCCCATTACGATGCAGAGCATCGGCTGCAGCCTGGGCAGCCAGTATTCCGGGGCGGAGAAAAGTTGTGCGGCTCCCCCAGTGACTGGATGGGGTAGGATAGGCTGGCGCCGCACGGGTGGGAGGCGGCCACAGGACAGTCCTGCTGGGTCAGCGGCAGGCCAAGATGCTTGGATGGGGTAACCAATGGCCGCCAGTGGCTGGCTACCTGATCCAAGAGCCTTGCTAGCCACGCGGCCACTGACCGCAGCCTATCCCCATCCAAGCACCTCGCTAGTGGCTGGCGGCTGCGTGGCTAGCAAGGCGCTGGATGGGGTAGCCAGCGGCTCAGAGAAGAGAAGTGGCAAGGCTGGAAAACTTGCTAAATGAAAATCCAGGCAGGCTCACCATGGCAGGTGGAGGACGGGCTCCTTGTGTTATAAATAATTAACAGGGACAGTTTACATGAACATGATTTTCTTGTTTCAGTCCTAGCAGTTCTTTTAATGTCCTTCTGCTTTGGTATCCATCCTGCAAATTCTAAATTAGCCAACAATACCAAATTTCAGAAAACATGCACTTAAGAAAGGGCTAGAATCGGGGTCTGCCTGCTCCGAGATTAGTAACTTAACCAATATGCCACATTGTTCTTATTTTCACACACACACACACACGCAGAACAAATGCCATTTATAGCTCATATTGATTTTTAATACCATCTTTTCTTACTAGGCAAGTAGAAATAACATCTAATTACAGAATGGAAGAAAGTGGAACTGCACATTAACATTAGAATTAACAATTTTCTCTGCCAGATTGTAAGAATGAATACTTGTTCAAACATGTCTATTTCATGTCCTCTTTTGGTTATACTTAACAGAAATTATTATGTAAGTTTCACTGGAGAAGACAACATAAAAGGATACATCCCTTGTCCCATTCTACTTATTTTTATTTTTAGGCTGTATTTGAAAGATTATAGCTAAAGTTAATAAGATAAGGTACATCCTTTGTGGTGTATCTGTATAAACTGGAATGTTTTTTTAAAAAATTAATTTCTTCTTTTCATCTGAAGAATGTCTTAAATTATGAGCTTTCAAACAGTTTATGACCATAAGCCATTTTTTAAAATACAGAATCCAGGCTGGATGTTGTCAATGTTTGACATACATATCAAACACTGAAATCATTCTAAACAATGATATCTCTTCTAAAACCAGCATATTCAACCAATTTTTACAACCATTATATGATGGATTAATTATAACAATTGCATGCAGAATTAGATAGTAATTTTGTCATAATACGATGAGGATTCTTTTATGGTGCAAACATATATTTTGGAAATATTCAGATCTTAAGGAACAATACCCAAAATCAATTTTAGCAATGAATCTTAACTTTACCAGTATATAATTTCGAACAATATATGGTATATGAAAAGTAACACATGAACAATGAACTATTATGACTTCCATTTTGATTGTACAAAAGACAGAATGCTTTCCATCCAAATATGCATAGATTGTTCACTTTTCCTCAATAATTCCTTATTCAATCTTACTGATTTATCTACACAAATACAAATACTGTGCTTCATTCAGCGATTTATATTACAATCACTGTGATCATTACTTACTGGTGTACAATATTCCACCATTGGGTAGTGCATCTTATGACCTTTTGCAACTCGGCCAGAAAAGAAGCAGCTTTGGCAGACATCGTAGTTAAAGTGCTTTAAGCTTCTGTATCTGAAAGAGAAGGAAAAAGATGCAATTTACAAATTTAAGAGTAAACTGTGTTTCGGTGTAAGTCTGAAGAATATATTAGAGCTTCATATTTTAATCAGCAGCAAAAAATTAACTATAAGAGATCCATTTACAAAAACTGAGAACACTGGAAAAATAACTCTGAAAACTCTTAAAACCATTTTTGTTTTTTAAATTGTGCATAGCCCATAAACATATATTTCATTCAAATATCAAAGAACTTGGGTTGCCCAAAAGCAGCAATAGATTGGTTATCAACTAATCAGACATGCTGTTTGTCATAGCAGGATTTCAGTGTTAGAGGGATTCAGTGCACTGAAATAATCAAAATGATTAAAACTGTAGCTTTAAAAAAGTCAGAAGTTGCAGCTGATTTCAAAATCAGAATCAAAAATTTTACTGGATGCACTCTTATGAGATCCTATTGTATCTATTCTACAATCCCTCACCTGGTAATAAATTGGGCATCATTCAAAATAACGGAGCCAGTATCATTTATTCTATTTATTCATTCAATTCAATTTATATACCGCCTTTCTCCTATTGGACTCAGGGCGGTGCACAGACAAGGATAAAAAACATACCAATACAAAATTTAAAATCAATTAAAAGAATTATACAGCTTTGGCCCACAATTTAAAACAATCCAATTTAAACCCAATTTACACTTAAAAAGCTAAAAACCTAAAAAGAGCTAAAAATTTGTACTGTTACTATTCAAAAGTATCTTAATTGTGCATAGAGGTAGTCCTTGACTTACAACTATTCATTTAGGGACTGTTCAAAGTTACAACCGCACTGAAAAAAGTGACTTACGAGAGTTTTTCACACTTATGATTGTTGCAGATCCCTATGGTCATGTGATCAAAATTCAGCCGCTTGGCAACTGACTCATATTTATGATGGTTGCCATATCCTGGGCTCATTGAGACCTTCTCGAAAGCACAGAAGCCCGATTTATTTAACAACAGTTTTACTAATTTAACATCTGCAGCGAGTCACTTAACTATGGCAAAAAAGGTCATAAAATGGGGCAAAACTCACATAACTATCTTATTTAGCAACAGAAATTTTGGACTCAATATTATGGTTGTAAGTTGAGGACTACCTGCATATATTTTTATGTGTCCAAACACAATTTCAAAATGAAGAAGGAATTTACTTTTTCATAAAACTCATTTGATTAATTTCTGAATATTTAATTTGAAAAAAGACAAAATTGAGATGTTCAATGTGGAAGAAATTTGCAGAATGTTTCCTGCATTAGTTCACTTAAGAAAGAGAAATATATTTGATAAAAAATCAATCTGTTCTTTACAGAGATGTTCTATGCTACCACTGTTTATTGAACTTATATTGTACGCTTCTATACTGAATAACATATCATTATAGTTCCAGTGGTATGAAACCGTTAATTAATTCAGCATTTTACCTGAATCCAATAATTGGACATTCTTTACAGATGTTGCACTTGGCCTGATGTTTGGCAGTTTCAGCAGCTGCCACTCTATGTAAAACTGGAAGCCATACCATTGATTGTGGTTCAAGTCTCATCCAATCCAGAAAAAGAGCCGCTTCTATTTCAGGTTTGTTATTTGCCTGCGAGAGAAAAGTGATGCTGTCAACTTTGAACCAAACTTAGCAGCAGCCATCTTTCTGTTCCTCAGTTGCCACACAGAGGGAAGGAGATTGGAATGCATTACTAGACACAACAAAGAGCTTTCTCATCAGAACCAAGATCATCTCTACTGGCAACAGATAAGGTTGGGGAAGGAGTGCCTGAAGAACCGGCCAATTAACCCAATTGGCCAATATGACCTGTGACACTTGGGGATGGAGTTATTTCCTAGTTTAATTATACTGTAACCGCGGCAAAGATTTAGATTTGGTTTTCCATTGAAGCTGTGCTGATATGATGTACTCATTAAAGAAGACCTTTGAGAAGGAGCCAAGTCTCAGAGTTCCGATTTGCTTGAGTTCATTAGTCAGAGCCTTGACATTAAACGAAATCTCCTGAGCCCCAACTGTCCTTCCAACAACACTGGAGGGTGGAAAAGACTCAGCGATGATTGGAGATGGAGAAGACTGCCCCGGCTGGGGTTACGCCACAGGCAAGTCACTCTGGTGAGATGGTGGTCACTGGTGGTCTGCGTGGGAAGGACTGATAAGCCAGTGATGTGGAAGGAACCCTAGCCACTGAGGACCTTTACTGAATGGAGGTGGGAGCCAAGTGCTGCTGAATTTCCCAAGGTCTCCTCAGTCACTGGCCACTCTCATCCTGAAATGGAAAGCGAAGAGGACTGCCAAGTGGGATGAGCACAGGGAATGGAAGTACCTGACTGTCCTTCACCATGGTAGAGTGGCAGAGGGAGAGGTTCGACTACATGGACAGTGGAACTGAATCGGGTCATCTGTGGTGACAGCAGCTTAGCCAGCTCAGCCACTGCTGACCCGCTGGAGCCAGAGCCCAACCCCGGTGGCACAAGTTGGCCAGCCCACCTCCCCAACCAGCTGGGGCAGCAAATCCAAGCCGAAGGAAGAGCCCCCACAAGACAGCAACCAGCAGCAGGTTCAATGAGGCAATCTCAGACTCCTCCTGGATGGCACAGGTATCTGCTGAGGCTTTATTATCCAGGGCCCGGTTGGTTACCTAGACCGTGGGGTCCATGCAAGGTCATCAAGCCGCTGAGTGCCTGGCACCAACACCCCAGCCAAAAGTGACCTTGGCTGCATTGTCTAAGCCAAAATAGCCATCACAGAAGGGTTTGGAGAAGTGGAGTTTGATACACCAGGCCATCGAGGTCTCCCCCACTTCAAGTGGGGGAGAGGGAACTCTGACCCAAAGGGACCAGCAGCCTGCCCCCATGACAGTGATGATGAGGATGAAAACGACCCAATGGTCAGTGAAGCCATCCGCCCCTTTGCCATCCCCGCAAAAAAGTGGTGCCAAAGTCAGGAATCCAGGCAGAGGTGGATGCCCTAATAGACTCAGGCTGCACAAGGTGCCTAATTAGCCTACTGACAGTCCGGAAGCTAGGGATCAGAGCGAAGAGACTGCTCCGAGCCATGAAGTTCGAGCAAGTCAATGAATCACTCATAGGAGGTTCCCCTGCAATGCACCTCACTGAGCTGGTGCAGCTAGAGATAGGCCAACATTGGGAGATCATCTGATTTGTAATAGTCCCAAAGGGAACTCTAGCATAGAGGGACCATCAGCCTGCCCCCTATGACAGTGACGATGAGGCAGTGATTCCAGGGTCCCAATGATCTGGTGGGAAGGGGGAGAGAGAAAAATAAGGCTAGGAAGAGGCCTTCTCCCTCCTCAAGGCAGCCAGAAGGGAGGAGCTGTCCAGCACTGGGCAGAACCTGAAGGAAACAAGCTCCTTAAAGCCACTTTAGAGCAACAACCAGGAACCCAGCTAATCCTCAAATAATTCTGAGACCTAGTTCAATAAGAAAGAATGTGATGTGCTACCCCCACCACACCCCACCAACTGTACTATTGAGATCCTACCAGGCACAAAGCTCTCTAAACCAAAAATTTACTCCATGACCCCAAAGGAAATGAAGGACCTAAGGGAGTACATTGACAAAAACCTAGCCAGAGGCTTCATCAAGCCAGCAAAATTCAGAGAGAGAGAAAAATGGGACGATGAGACTTTGTGCGGACTTTAGGGAAATAAATGGCACGTGTGTGGAAAACATGTACTCACTACCCCTAATGAAAGACATGCTGGCCCACGTAGCAAAAGGGAAGATCTTCACCAAGCTAGACCCAAGGGAGGCATATTACAGGGTGAGAATCAAAGAGGGGGATAAGTGGAAGACTGCTTTTAACTGCCCACTGGGCAGCTTCCAATTCAAAGTAATGCCATTTGGGCTCCAAGGGGCCCCTGCGGTCTTCATGCAATTCATAAATGAAGTGTTGCATGAGTATTTGTACAAAGGGTCCTAGTGTACTTAGATGACATTCTCATCTTCACTGAAACAATGGAGGAGTACATAAAATTAGTCAGCCAGGTACTAAAGAAACTCTTGGCTGCAAACCTATATGCCAAGCTATCCAAATTCGAGTTCCATAAGACCCATCTCAACTACCTAGGCTATCAAGTGTCGAACGAGGGGGTAGAAATGGACTCAGGAAAAGTAAAAGCCATCCTGGAATGGCAACACCCTTGAACCCTCAAGCAACTGCAGAGCTTTTTTGGGTTCGCAAACTTCTACCAGCGGTTCATCCCCTTTTTTGCCAAAACAGTCCTTCCCATCACCAAACTGCTAAAAACAGGGAAAGGGAGGGCCAAACTGCAACCCAGCCGGACACTAAAGTGGACCGTGGAGTGCCAGGGAGCATTTGAGAAACTCAAATGTCTATTCACGGAGGAACCAGTCCTAAAGCACATAAACCCTGAGGAAGCATTCGTTATTCAGGCAAGTATCAGCAATGTAGCCATAGGGGAGTCCTCCTCCAGAAGAACAAGGAGGGGAACCTCCAACCATGCGCCTACACCTCCAGAAAACTCACCCACACTGAACAAAGGTGAGTGGTGTGGGAGAAAGAGGTTTTCATGGTCCGTTGGGCATTATTAACCTAGCGGCATTTCCTAGAAGGGAGCATAGTGCTGTTTGAAGTATGGACTGATCACAAAAATCTGAAGGCCTTTAGGTCCCCTCGGAAGCTCTCTCCCAAACAAGTTCAATGGGTGCAGCATTTTAACCGATTCAACTTCATGCTGAAATACATCCCAGGAGGGAAAAACCTCCTAGCAGATGCCTTGTCCCAAATATCCCAATACAAGAGTAAGCGTGGTCAATGCCATCATTCCTATCCCCCAGAAGGCAGCACAAGTCACTATGAGGCAACGGACTAGAAGGCAATCAAGCGAATCGGGGGAAGAGCTAACTCAAAAGCTCAAAGCTGAGCTGCAAACCAACCCCTGGTTCAGGGACAACCAACAACTCCTGACCTCCTGAGACGGATTGGCATGGAAAGGTCCAAAATTGTACATTCCCAGCACCCTCCGGGTCCAATTTCTGCAAAGAAGCCATGACTCCAAGCAAGTCGGCCACTTTCGATTCCTAAAAACATGGCATCTGGTGCAAAGACAATTTTGGTGGTCAGCAATGAAAAAGGACAATGAAAGCTATGTAAAAAGCTATGCCACATACACAGTGATGAAAAAAAGACCTGGGAAACCCCAGGACTGTTACAGCAAGTGGCCGAACTGTCACAACCCTGGCAGGAAATAGCAATGGACTTTATTGTGGAACTCCCAGAAAGTGGAGGAAACATCGTAATTTGGACAGTGATTGATCTTTTTTCCAAACAGGCCCACTTCATTGCCTGCTCTGGCCTCCTCTTAACTGGCTAAGCTGTTCCTGAAGTACATTTACCAACTGAATGGAGTTCCAAAGAGGATCATCTCTGATGGGTGTGTGTGTGTGTGTGTGTGTGTCCCAGTCTATGGCTAAATGAGCTGAGGTGGCACAGTGGTTAGAGTGCAGAACTGCAGCTACTTTAGCTGACTGCTAGTTCAGCAGATCAGCAGATCAAATCTCACCGGCTCAAGGATGACTCAGCCTTCCATCCTTCCGAGGTGGGGGACCCAGATTGTTGGGGGCAATATGCTATTTAGTACACTGTCTTTGGTGTAAGCCGCCCAGAGTCCTCGGAGAGTGGGCGGCATAGAAATATGACTAATAAAATAAATAAAAATAAAAATAAATAAATTTTGGAGGGAGTTCATATAGTCAATTGGGGAGTCCCGGGGCTTAGCTCACTTTTCATCCGAGTACTAATGGGGTGGTGGAACGTATGAATGCAATGATAGAGCAGTACTTGAGGTGTTATGTAAATTACCAACAAATCAATTGGGCTGATCTGCTACCTTTCACTGAGGTGGCATATAATGCTGTACATAGTAGCACGGGCTTCACACATTTCAAGGTAGCCACAGGGGCAGATTTTATCCCAATGCCTGATTTCCCTCGGGAGCCCCATTCCTCAATAAGCCTGACTGAATGGATAGACTCCCTGCAGGATGCTTGGAGGAATGTGAAACGGGCACTGCCAAAGCCACTGTGACACAAAAAGAGCAGGCAGACAAAAGGTGATCCCCTCAGAAGCCATTTCACATAGGAGAGAAAGTTTACCTCTCCACCAATTACCTGAAACTAAAACTGCCATGTAGAAACTGGGTCCTAAATTTATAGAACCTTTTCCCATCATAAAAATAATTAATCCAGTCATGGTGGAGTTGAAATTTCCATGCCTGTTGGGAGAAATATATTTGGCTTTCCACAGTAATCTATTGAAGCCAGTAATTGGTTCGGAGCTGTGGCCAGTAGCTCAGGAAGCCCCAGGTCCCATCGCAGTGCAGGGAGAGACCCATTACAAAGTAAAAAGAATCCTGGATTCTAGACTGTGCATGGGGAGGTTACAGTATTTAGTACAATGGAAAGGATACCATCTTTCAGAAGCCACTTGATTGAAGAGTCAAAACATAAGAGCAGACAGGCTGATCAAAAAATTCCATGAGAAAACCCCCCAGAAGCCAAAAGGACAGGGGCAGGGGTGGCTAAGAAAAAATTAATTGTAGGAC